TTTATTTAAAACGACAAGTGAAGATTGAATGGTCACTTCGAAATTTTGGACTACTATCAATAAGCGACACGACACATGAGCTGAATCAATAATTCATGCTTAGCAAAATATGTGATAAATCTCTGAAAGACAAAGACACTTGTTTTCCAAAGAAGTGAGCTGAACCACTTGCCTAGGGTGTTCTTAACCGCTTCGTTTATTTTATTTATTGAAACTCCAAAACTCTGTAGAAAGAAAGAACCAAGAAAACAGGACAACGAACATGTCAATCTTCCTCTGTTTCCTCTTCCTCTTTCCCCTAATCTTGATCCTCTTGCAAAATTTTAAACCCTCTAAATGGAATCTTCCTCCGGGCCCACTAAAGCTTCCCATCATCGGAAACTTACACCAACGCCGAGAGCTACATCCAAGGAACCGTCGGAACCTCACGCAAAAGTATGGCCCAGTGGTGCTTCTCCGCTTCGGATTCGTCCCCGTGGTCGTGATCTCATCTAGAGACGCAGCAGAGGAAGTGCTCAAGACCCATGACCTAGAGTGTTGTACCCGACCAGAGACTGTCGGGACCAGGACAATCTCTTACAACTGCAAAGGCATAGGGTTCATGCCTTACGGTGAGGAGTGGAAGGCGTTGAGAAAGCTCGCTGTTATCGAGCTCTTCAGCACGAAGAAGCTACAGTCTTTTAGGTATATCAGAGAGGAAGAGAGTGACTTGTTAGTCAAGAAAATATCTGAATCTGCTTCGAACCAATCTCTAGTGAATTTGAACAAAACCCTTTTCACCTTTGTCGCTAGTATAATCTGTAGGCTAGGGTTCAGGTTGAATCTTCAAGACTGTGAGTTCATAGATGAAGATAGCATCGCAGAGTTTGTGCAAAAGTGTGAATCCGTCACGAGGACGTCTATGTTCTCTGACTTCTTCCCTGGAAGATTCGGTAGATTCATCGATAGAATCTCTAGTCAGAACAAGAGACTAGAGAGTATATTCTCTGAAGTTGACAGTTTCCTTCAGAATATTCTTGATCATCATCTTAAGCCTGGAAGAAGTGTTGGAGAGAGCTCTGATATTATAGACGCCATGATCAAGATGATGAGGAATCAAGACGAAGATGGAGACTCTTTCAAGCCGACCACAGATAATCTCAAAGGAATGATATCGGTAACGTTTTGGACCTTTCTTGTACAACAAGTATTTGCTTTCTTGTAACACAAGCTAGCTATGTTCTACCAGGACATATTTATAGCAGGAGTTAACACAAGCGCCTCCACAATGATATGGGCAATGACTGAGCTCATCAGAAACCCTAGAGTGATGAAGAAAGTCCAAGACGAGATTCGGACAACACTCGGAAACAAAAAAGAGAGAATCACAGAACAAGATGTTACCAAACTTCATTACTTCAAGCTAGTGGTTAAAGAGACATTGAGGTTACACCCAGCAGCTCCACTTTTGCTTCCAAGAGAGACACTGACTCACATCAAGATCCAAGGCTATGATATTCCCGCAAAAACTAAGATCTTGATCAACGCTTACGCGATTGCACGTGATCCAGAACTTTGGACAAATCCAGATGAGTTTAACCCTGACAGGTTTCTTGATAGTTCTGTAGATTACAAGGGATTGAACTTTGAGCTTTTACCGTTTGGTTCTGGTAGGAGAATTTGTCCAGGGATGGCATTGGGGGTTGCCATGGTTGAATTGGGATTGTTGAACTTGCTTTACTTCTTTGACTGGGGGTTGCCTGAGAATGAAGAAGCCGACAAGATCATTACCGGAAATGAAGTTGCTCTTGACCTCTTTCAAGTTCTTCACCACTAAAATGTGTTTTTTTTTTTATATTTGTAACAACTTAATATTGGTTACTGAATGTTTTCATTAGTGTTTCAAAAAAAAAAATGTTTCATTAAGAATCATAGGGTCTATTATTCTTAATCAGTTGTAAGTCTTCTATTATGGTTAAGTCTTTTATTTCTCTTGTATATATTAAGTATTAGTTAAAAATATATAATATATGGCTTGTAATATGGCTTGTAGAATGGCGCCATTTCTGCTCATGTGTCAAAATGATACTGATATGAGATATATTCAAAATTAGATAAGTTGCTCAAAAACAAGTTTAATTTATATGTTTCTCGTTGAGAAACTAGTACGTAACTCTATATGATTAAATTGTGTGTTTAGATCAATTTTGAAAACTGAGTAATTACTCTAATAAAGATATTCTAAAAGGTTTTCTACATGGAACATGACTCTAGTTTCTTCTCTTCCAGCGACCTAGGCGTGATGGTCACCTTAAGACCGTACTTCATGTACAAGTTAGTCGTAACTCTCGGAACAACCACATGATCTTGAGCAACCTTGATTGAGTACCTCAACAAGACTGAAGCAGCTATCATCTTCATTTGAAGATAAGCAAATGTTTTCCCTATACACAGCCTAGGCCCAGCATTAAACACAACGTATTTGAATTGGTCATCACTGACAAACTTCCCTGCTTGGATCCATCTCTCTGGTCTGAACATTTCACAGTCTTTACCCCATACTGATTCCATCCTTCCCATGGCATAGATAGAGAAGTAAACCCTAGAACCTTTTTTAATAAATGTCCCATCTGGAAACATATCATCTTCAATGGCTTGTTTCATCTCCATTGGGATTGGTGGGTAAAGTCTTAGAGTTTCTGAAATTGCTGCTTGTAGATATACCATGTTGTTTAGTTCTCTTACCGTGAATAGACTACTACTGTCTGAAGGATCATCTCTCTGTTTCAAGATTTCTCTTATCTCGTGGATGATTTTGTTCTCAACTTGTGGGTGTCTTTGTATCACCCAGAAGAGCCATGAAATTGCAACAGAACTTGTGTCACGTCCAGCTAAGATGAAACTTGTGCAAAACTGTCTAAAAAAACTAATGGTAGAAGGACCAATCTCATTACCTTTTTTATTACTCTCTATCTGAATAATCCTTGTAAGGACATCAAATCTACTATCTAACGTCTTTTTTTCCTTGAGCATGCAGATACGATCCATAATCATTTTGTTTACGAATCCATGCACGACGTCAATAGCTTTTCTTAGACTTTTCTCATACCCTAGGTCGAGAAACTTCATTGGTTTCCATATAAATGGAGGGATCATGAACCTAAACAACGTAGACTCTGTTGCTTCATCGAAAGCCTTAGCAAATGGAACTTGAGGAAGATCTGGAGCTAGAGTCTCCGGGTCCTCTCCTAGACCCGCGATGCATATGATGTCAAACGTCAAACGCAAGAGCACGTCTTGGAGATCAAAAGCTTCTTGTGACCTAGCGAAACACTCCATCACGTTCAACAGCTTCTTGCTTACTACATCTTGTATTGTCTGAAAGGAATGCTCCATGAAGCGAGTCGAATGCATTTCGGTTATGAAGATCCGTCGTTGCTCTTTCCAAGATTTATTATCAGTGTTAAAGATACCATCCTCGAGGAGATCACTGAACCGATCTTTAAAGAATGTACCTTTGGGGAAGTTCTTGAAGTTGGTCTTGAGCATGTACTCAACATTTTCAGGAGCGCAAGTCACGGCTCCATGAGATCCATCAAGCCAGAATCCACGGTAAAGAAACGTGTTTCGGGATTTTTTCAAAGATTTTGTGACCCATCCATATACGTCATTTTTATGAAAGAAAAACTCTAGGGTAATGCCAAACACTGGCCAGAGCATTGGTCCGTGTTTGTTGGTTAACTTCTCACGCAAACAACAGAAAACAAACATCCCTAAAAATGCAAGAGATATATCGAAGATAGAAAGATGGTTATAAACTCGCTCTATTAAAGACATTGTAAGTTTCACTCACTGAAATATTCTCATTGTTTCGATAGATATTTGAGAGTTTCACATTGTGTTGGTGGAAACATGTGTCATGCATTTCATGTTTTAGTTTTAGGACTTACATTTGCTGTCTTCGTGCAAACTTGGTCTATTTGAAGAAAATTATCAGTTTCTTGTTAAAGACGCAAGATAAAGGTCTTGAGATGACAAATGAGAATTGCGTGTTTATTAGAAAATCCAAAAAAAAAAAAAATAATCATATAACAAGAAAAACTCATAAGAATGATTCCCCAAAAAATGCAAAACTGTTTGTCATGTCTTTTGTGAGTCTGTAACAGAGATGTATGTCTTTTTTGGGGCTATTTACTATACTAAAGAAAGACTTTGATTAAACTATCAAAAATTAAATTGAATGTATTGAAAGAATTATTTTCTTGATATGTTCCAGTACGTAAAGTTTGAAACATACATGCAACTTTAATAAACACTAGTTCCAGAGGAGATTCTGTGGATTGTAAATAAATAAATAAAAACTTATTATGCAAGGTTCATGCATGATAACTTATAGTTACCCTAAGTTTTAATTTATACAAATCATATAAGTGTTCATAATTACAACCCATAAAGTTATCACAAAATGATTTGAACCAATCATAAATGATTTATGTACAAACAAAAAAAAACTTGAATGCATCATCAGAAAAAAAAAAAAAAAGCTCACAGAGCCGGTTAGTACAGTGACAATAAAAAAGGTTTTAGTCGGTTCAATTTGATTGAAATTTGTTTGGTTTCTTAAATCAATCTCGGTTCTAAATTCGGTTTGGCTCAGTTAAACCGAACTAACATCAAACCAAAGTATTAACCTTTGTCAAAACAAAAACTCAAAGCACAAACCGACGACAGCGACATTGTCTAACTACGTGGCACTTGTCGGAAACTCAACTTCCATTGACGGAGAATAAATGTTTCTCCTTTGATCCAGATTCTAGGGCTTACGAGTATCCATTATCCTTCTTCGGTTGATCACTGTAATGGATCCGACTTCTCGACCCGCTATTGTCATCGACAACGGAACCGGGTACGTAAATTATTAATTTTTATATTCATGCACATAAGGTGTTCGATAAAATGCCGCAACCAGATTCATTTTTCCGTATATATGTATATTGCAGGTATACGAAAATGGGTTTCGCGGGTAATGTAGAACCATGTTTCATTCTTCCAACAGTAGTTGCAGCCAACGAGTCTTTCTTGAGCCAACCCAAGAGTTCTTTAAAAGGAACATGGGCGGCTCAGCACAACGCTGGAGTTGCGGCTGATATGGATTTCTTTATCGGAGATGAAGCTCTTATGAAGTCACGGTCTAGTAGTACTTATAATCTTCGTTATCCCATTGAGCATGGTCAAGTTGAGGATTGGGATGCTATGGAAAGGTATTGGCAGCAGTGTGTGTTTAACTATTTGAGATGTGATCCGGAGGATCATTACTTTCTTCTCACTGAAAGTCCTCTTACTCCTCCTGAGAGTCGAGAGTACACTGGAGAGATTTTGTTTGAGACTTTTAATGTTCCTGGGCTGTATATTGCTGTTAACTCGGTTCTTGCACTTGCTGCTGGGTACACAACATCAAAGGTAGGTGGCTCATTGTGTTTTCTACGAGTTCTTATGTTATTTGCTGGGATGATAATGATCTATAATGTTTGTTTGTGGACTGTCTGAATCTTTAAGTTCAGTAATATCTTGTCTTTTGTTCTGTCTTGTTATGCGAGCTTCTTTATTTGACTCACAGTTCTTCTTAGTGTGAGATGACAGGGGTTGTAGTGGATGTTGGAGATGGGGCGACTCGTGTTGTACCTGTTGCAGAAGGTTATGTCATTGCGAGCTGTATCAAGTCAATTCCAATTGCTGGCAAAGATGTTTCCCTCTTTATCCAGCAACTCATGCGGGTATACTAGTTTATATTCGTTCTTCTTTTGTAGTTGGTTTCACTTCTTTCTCTGTGACATGGTATTTACTTTGTTATATGATAAAAATTCAAATTCTGCACTGTATAGCAGCTGTAGCTCTTCATCCTGTTTATACGGTCTTAGATGAATTGCTCACATACTAAGACAGGGTGTTTGCTGGTTTAAGTTGATGTATTTCTTTTATGGGACTTCTCATTTCATCATTTACTGTAGGAAAGAGGTGAGAATATACCACCGGAAGATTCATTTGATGTAGCCCGTAAAGTGAAGGAAATGTACTGCTACACTTCTTCAGACATCGTAAAGGTAATGCTTATTAGTGGCTGACGTGAACGTTCAAGTTAAATAATACTAGTTTTCTAATGATTGATTGCATTTACGCTGAAAAGGCTTGGCATTGAACACAGAAAAAAATTATAAAGATGGCTGAACATTTTATATTGTTGTAGGAGTTTAATAAACACGACAAAGAACCAGGAAAGTATATCAAACAGTGGAAAGGTGTTAAGCCAAAGACTGGTGCACCGTACACTTGCGATGTGGGATATGAACGATTCCTTGGACCTGAGGTTTGTCACCATTTCTTTGTTTCCTAGAATGATAAGATGCATTATAAGTTATATAACCAAGGCAATTCCAGTACTCTTAGCATTATGTTCTGATTATTGAATAGCGTTGATATAGAAGATGCTTAATCAACTTTGTGTTATTATCGATGATATGTTGAGATTTTGTGTGTTACAGGTCTTCTTTAATCCAGAGATATACAGCAATGACTTCACAACTTCTTTACCGGCTGTAATAGACAAATGTATCCAGTCTGCACCAATTGACACACGAAGAGCTTTGTATAAGGTCTGAACACACACGGTTTAGTCAGATGTATCCAGTCTGCACCAATTAATATACTTTTTTCTTGTTACTGATGAATTTGTGAAAATCATTTCAGAATATAGTCTTGTCCGGAGGTTCAACTATGTTCAAAGATTTCGGGAGAAGGTTACAAAGAGACCTCAAGAAGATTGTTGATGCTCGTGTTCTTGCTAATAACGCACGTACTGGTGGTGAAATCACGGTAAAAGCTTTGATATCTGCAAAGTAAAAGTAAACATATATGTGGCCTATGTTAGTTATATATTAACCATGATCTTAAACAGTCTCAACCTGTGGAGGTTAATGTCGTGAGTCACCCTGTACAGAAGTTTGCAGTTTGGTTTGGAGGCTCCGTGCTTTCATCAACTCCTGAGTTTTTCGCGGTATGTAAACAAACTATTTGTGGATTTCTTATTAAATTGTCACCTGTTATATAAAGGACTAGAAACCGGTTTAGAGACCAGATAGATTTGGAAAACCAAACTCATGGTTTGATTGGTTTGAAAAAATCGATGTGGTTTTTGTTTTGTTATGGCAGAGTTGCAGAACGAAGGAGGAGTATGAGGAATGTGGAGCAAGCATATGCCGAACTAATCCGGTGTTTAAGGGGATGTACTGAAATAAATTGAAGCTGCATCAGTCATCTTTAGATCATGTGGATGTTTGTTTGAAACTCTCTATTATAGGTTACTTGCAACTCAAGCTATTTTCTTTAGGGTTCATGAGTTCACAGTCAAGTGTAAGTTAGGTTGATGTAGAATAAGTCAGTATTTTCAGACAAAGTAAAGGAATAAAGTATGTAGAAGTCGGCTTTTTTTTTTCTCTGAAACGTATAACACGCATCAAATTCCATAAAAGTGTTTGCAAATGCAACCTATTTAATTTGTCAATGCCACTATTTTGGACCTATAGCTGCATATCATTGCCGGTGATAACAGATCGATTTTTACAGACTAAGGCTATAACTGGTGACCGTTTCGGGAATAAAAGGAACGATTGGGAAAATAAAATTTTGGAATGAATAGGAACAAAATTAAAAGGAATAAATGTAGAGAAGAAATGGAATAAATTGTCCTTGTAAATGGTAACCAACAAAAGGAATAAATATTTTTAACTAAAATAATTTAGAAACTATGGTTCAAATATAATAAAGTTTTCTTCTTCAAGGTTTAAAGCTCCTCTCTCCATATATCTCTTCACGAACTGTTCCACCATCGGCCGTAGTTATTGCCTCACCACTGGATTGACGTCCACGACGTGGCTTGCTAGTGTTTCTTGAACTTGACATGATATCTTAAAAAACATACAAAATATTATGTTATTTTAATACTTGTTATGATACAGAAATATCTTAAAAATTGTAACAAAAAAGTGTGTGCGTAATTCTTGGTTGACAAAGAAAAAAAGTGTGTACCTCTTGACGGTAGAACTCTGAGCTTTTTTAGGTTAGGTGTTATAATATTTTTCACATATATAATCAAGCAAGAGACGTGGAGGATTCAAGAAAATGTTAATTTTCTAATTCATATTAATAGATATTTACCAAGTGTTATTGTTTTCCATTTAGTTCCTAGTCAAAATTGATAGGGAATATTTTTCTTCTACCGTTCCATATACGAAGAGGAATCATGAGGAATTATGTGTGTTCCATTTATGTCAAAAATTACTAGTGAATGGTAAAATAAAAAAAGGAATCAATAGGAACAAATCATTCCCTCTCGTTCCTTAAGTTTCAAGTGGTCACCATTTAGACCCTAAGAGATTTTTCAACTTGTAATATTTGGGAAGACAAAATATTTACAACATTTTTGGGAAGAACTCTGAATTCCTTTTTGTTTACTATTCGATCTATCTATGTTCAGTGCTCCTCAGGTATGCACTCCCGGCTTTGATCCACGGTGTCCATGATTATAGATGTGTTGCACGTGCGGCAATAGAGGAGAATGGGAGCACTTTATGCTCCTTACCCGGATTAATTCCAATTGAACAGCAACAAAACAATATATGTATTTGAATTCTTTATGTGTGCATCTCTGCATCCTCAGTTACACACAACATTTGTGTCATATGATATACATATTGGAATTCTATATGTGCTAATATGAGAGAATAAATGAAACACTTTATGTGACAAAAGATGAACATGTCACCAAATATGTCTCCTAAAGTCTAAACTCTCCTCTTTTGTTCTTTTTAAACCATTTGAATTGTAATGAAAAACCCTACTTTGATTCCCAGCTACCTCTCGCTCTTTTCTCAATGAATAGTACACTACAACCAACCCAAACTACTTAAAAAGGAATTGTCTCCTCTTATCCTCTGTTTTTGTTCTCTGTGTAATACATTGTTGTGACAAACGTTTTCCTCTCTTCCCTTACTAGGTGTACGGGATATGAATGATTATGAATCTTTGCCTGAACTTACGTAAAATGAAGAACCAATAAAACTGAAAAACCAGAAAACCATGATTACAATTTACAAACCTATCACTTATGCCATGTCTTTCTTTCCAAAACAACATAATATCACTAATTGTCTTTATCTATAAAAAATTCATGTAAAATAGCTTTGTTTTTATGATTTCGTATGGATAATTAATATGGTTAGCGTGCAAATAGAAACATCTAAAAGGATGATTCTCTAGGAAAACAAAATAAAAGAAACCCAAAAGAACATGCTCACAGTTTCTTTAATGCTCCCAACACACATCAAATGTTGTTGTAAATAAGTAAAAGCTTCTAATTAGATATGAGAGATCAAACTTTGAAAATAAGTAACTTTTCCCCGAGACATATAATTCCGGTAAAAGAAATTTAGAGACTTTGTTAGGGGATCATATTTTACCAAACCGCGGGAATAGCAATGTGAGAGCAAGATCTTCTTGTTCTTGCATACAGCCACGGGTGTGGATGGCTCAACCATATCCTTCTGACTCCATTCAAACCGATCGCGGAACTCAGCCCGAGGAGAAGGGCAAGAAAGGAGATCTATGGAAAAAATCTTCTCCCAAGTGTCTTTTGATGGATTCAACCTCCAAATATCTTGGATCATGGTAACGTGCTCCCTTTTCGACATACACAAATGATTATCAAGAGTGCACATGTCAATATGACGAGGATCTGAACTAGCAATAGCTGGAATGATCTTCGGCAACAACCTGAATGTTTCCGTGTGGATATCAAAAACCACCACTTCGGTTCTGCCCTCATGTAGCTCCGTGAGCCAGTACACGGACTCATTTGCATAGGCTGGCTTTTGATTAGGAAATATACTATAACTTGGAGTGCAAGCCAAGTATCGCCAAGAGTTGGTCCTAAAGTCAAAAACCTCACATTTGGTAACTTCTTGGTTTGGACAAGAAAGATCAGCATTGTACTTATCAGAATTATACAACCACACTAATTTGTAATCAGCAGCAGCCCTCACGAATGCTAGATGAAAGACTGAATCCATAGCTATCCACTCATCTAGAGTGGGGTTAAACTTGTGCATCAAAATCTGAAACCTAGCCGGAGGAAGTTGTCTTTGCCACCGTGTAGCCGGATTCACTACAAAAACGGATTGCTTATATGGGGAATGGATGCAGAAAAGGCCATTGCAGTTTCCAGAGATGTACATCCAGTTACCGAATCCTTGAGAGAAATTGATAAGAGTAAAGGATAGAAGAGAACCCGATTCAAGGCAGAACATTCTAAAACCAACGTTTGTATCTGGATGAGGAATATACCCTAGAGTGCCCTTTAGGTAATCTTCTTCCCCGATGACCATGACTTTCACGCGGGATTGCTTGGCGATCTTCAAGTGTCTCTCTGCGAACGAGAGAGACTCCATTGTCACTCTCCATTGTTTTGAGAGCGACCTGAGTCGGATTAGGACTTTTACGGGAAGTCGCAAGAAGATTTCCTCTATCAATTCGTTTGGTAGTGTTGATGGAGCAATCACTGGCTTCTCGTTTCTTCTTCTTATTTTTCTTCTCTCTCTCTTTCTTTCGGATGATGGTGATGCAACCACCACCCGGTTCTCTGCTGCCTCCATCTTTGACAATACCACTCTCTGCTAATTCTTTTGATCTTTCATCATATGTATATATAACTCATAATCTTTAGATCCTCGAGTCACGCCACCGACTAAAAGTCAATATTCATCATGTGTAATATATAGGTCATAATCTCTCAAAATTTTAATTGCCTTTTAATATTGTTAGATTTTACATTTTCTACGTTATGTTAAAGTACCTTTTTATGGCAGCAAAATTGCCATAAATGTAAAATTTTCTCATAAAGACTACATTAGAATTCATTGCAAAATATATGTGTGAGATACGTACGTACGATTTTATTTCGGCAAGTAGGCTTGTTCATTTTGCATGTATGGACCGGGTGATATATGTAAACCGAGGCCCAAATATAAGATATGTAACAAGTATTGAGACTTAATACTTTAAAGTTCAAATTTTGAAATTGATTTTTTTTAAATGATTATGAATTGTTTTAAATATTAAACGTCTCACATTGAAAGTATGTTGTTATAAAAATATGCAAATGATCCTAAAACCTTATAAGTATGAAGCTTTATTTAATAGATATCCAAATTAAATTATATATATATATATATATATTTTATTTATTATTTATATTTAATTATTATATAAAGTGATTGTAAGTAAACAAGTATAAGGAGACTTTCAAAGATTTTGTTTGAGAGTACACTGGAGAAATTTTGTTTGAGACTTTCAATGTTCCTGGGCTTTACATTGCTGTTAACTCGGTTCTTGCACTTGCTGCTGGGTACACAACATCAAAGGTAGGTGGCACATTGTCTTTTCTTCTAGTTTTTATGTGTTGTTTGCTTGGATGATAATGATCTGTCATGTTTGCTTGTGGACTACTGTCTGAATCTTTAAGTTATAGGTTTTGGACAATGTATTTGTTTTCCATGTAGTCAATACCTGATTATACTCCATTCAGTTTTGTTTTGAGGTGGATAAGTTTAAGAAACATTTGTCTTTTGTTCTGTCTTGTTATGCTCGCCTCGTAATTTGACTCAGAGTTCTTCTTAGTGTGAGATTACAGGGGTTGTAGTGGATGTTGGAGATGGGGCGACGCGTTTTGTACCTGTTGCAGAAGGTTATGTTATTGGGAGCTGTATCAAGTCAATTCCAATTGCTGGGAAAGATGTTTCCCTCTTTATCCAGCAACTCATGCGGGTATGCTCTAGTTTATACTTGGTCTTCTTTTGTAGTTCGTTTTAATTATTTTTATGTGACATTTAAAGGTACTTACTTGGTTACATAATTAAAATCCTAATTTTGCTATGTATGGTCGCTCGTCATCCTTATTATACGGTGATAGCTGCTTTGATCATATGCTTAGATAGATGTTTACTGGTTTAAGTTGATGTATTACATTGAATTATTTGCTGTAGGAAAGAGGTGAGAATATACCACCAGAAGATTCATTCGATGTTGCCCGTAAAGTGAAGGAGATGTACTGCTACACTTGTTCAGACATTGTAAAGGTAATGCGTATTAGTGGGTGACGTGACCTTCAAGTTAAGTAATACTATGATTGATTACTGGCTTATACACTGAAAAGGCTTGGCATTGAACACAGGAAAATT